AAAAAATCGATCAAGTATTACAAAAAAAATCTATCATAGGATTAAACAAAAAAAAAAAAAAAAAAAAAAAAAAAAAAAAAAAAAAAAAAAAATAACCGTACGGAATCTCCGATTCACTGTTCGGACTCGCCGATTCCGTACAGTGAATCGACGATTCACTGTACAGAATCGTCCGGTTCTCTCTAGAACCGGACGATTTCCGATTTTTTGGGCAATCCGGTCCCTTTTCACTATTTCCGAGTCGAACCGGGCGAGTCCGGTTCGACTCGGCGTTTTTTAAAACGCTGCATTAGGCAGTACTGAATTTAAGATATATCTATGTATTCAATCCTCATGGCCAAGTGGGAGATATTGGTACGTACGTGGACATGCACATATGCAACATATTTTTTATTTATCTAATTAATACTTTTTAAAAATATTATCCATTAATTACTATTTATCTTTGAAATATTTTTTAGATAGATAAAACCCTCTTTCCAATAGATAGTAGATAATTCCTTTATCTCCCAGTAGACAAAACACTTCTCAGATATTCTAGGAAGAAAAGCAGAACATTGGAGAACAGCCTCCTCCTATTTCTCTATAAATTAGATTTTCATGGCATGGAAAAACACAAAGAAAAAAAAAACGGTTCTCAATCATTCTAGAGAAACCATGGGTCCTCTGTGATACATCATCTAGCGACATCACACATCAGTTCATCTCCTTCTTTTTCCCAACAAAAAATTGATAAAGATCTCAAGTCTCGATCTATAGACCCACTTTTTTTCATTGCATGAGCTCATTGAACTCTTTTCCATGCAACAATAATTTTTCATTACTACAACTTGTTAGAATTTGTGGGAGTATAGAATGGAGAATGGAGAGAGAAGACGAGAAAATACAACATTTATATAGTTCAGGCCGAAACCTTACATCTACGGATCGAAAGCTAAACTAGCTACATATTCACTATTTTGGATGGATGTTTACATCGATAAGTACCTCTATATATAGAGGACAATCACACAATTAGAGGAGATAAATATATCACACAATTAGAGGAGATAAATATAGTATGATAACTTGATGACCAAGTAAATTGGTCTCTATCTTCTAGATACCTAACCTTATTAAGAGATATATATCCATACATCCATAATGATGTATATCAATATGAACCCTAGATATCTATCATCCCAACACAACTAAAAAAAGATAGTAGGAGAAGAGGAATTGAATTTTAGTTTTGGATTTTAATTTAGTAGAGATGAAACCTGTGTTGGAATATCGATTATTGTTTAGGAAAGAGAAAGTTCAATTTTGAGTTGTGATTTTGATTCATAAGAAGTTAGCTTTCAATTTTTTAGAGAGAGAAGATTAAGATTTGGGAGATAGATCAGATTGATCACACAAAATTTATTTAGGCTGTAAGAGAGAGCACAGAGATAGAGGAAGGAGATGGCTTCCACATGGAGAAACAGAGAGATAACTAACTATGTGGTCTTTCTAAAATTAAAATATTTTCTGAATGGGAACATTTTCTTAAAAGGTCAACCCACTTTACAAAATCCTTAAGGTGGTTAAATGTTCTCAATTAACCTTATAAAATATAATGCTTATCTTTTAAGTTTGGAAAAAGTTTATATAAATGCAAGGCTCTGAACAATCAAATTAGGGCGCACCTCAAAAACTTCACTAAAAGAGGTTGTTTTGATGCCCAAATATCCTCAAATTGATCATCTAGACCTAAAGATGCATGGACATGAGAAAAAATGGATTCCAAGTTTTAAAAACAATGCATCTTGTAATGCATTTTTGGACCATCAATTTTCAAGATTTTCAAATTTTTAAGGCTTTCACAAAGATTTCCAATATTGAAACCACATTTCTAGACACTATTTGAAGGGGCGCTTTACTTTGATTGTTTAGAGCCTCTCTATACAAACTGCACCCTTGAAGTTTATATTCAATTACATCCTTTAAAAAATATCAAAATTACCCTAAATTTATCAAAAAATCATCCAAATTGCCCTTGTTGAAGGTTGGGAACCTAAATAAGTAGTTGTACTTGGTAATTTGGGCCTACCTAAGTAACCTGACCAAATAACATGAGTACTTCGGCTTGTTCTGGGATACAATTGCAAACATGATTTTTTAATGTTGTTGCATTATATTTCGATATAAGTGTTGCATGAAATCATTACCCATTGAAAATAAGGGGATTTATGTCATTTGGCCTTGGCCAAGTCAAACTTAAAAATCTGGAATTCATCGCATGCACTTGTTCCGGGTCACAAATCCTACATAACAAGGGGTAATTTCATTATTATGCTCCTATTAAGTGGCCTGAAAAAATATATTGCGGTTATACATTGGAATATTCAGGCGCATCCTCACAATAAAAACGGGTCCCTACTCCTTTTCAGAAATAATATGAAGGGGCGGTAGAATTCAAAATTCCCGAACCCTAAAACAAGGATATTTATTATTTATTATTTATTATTTATTATTTATTATTGGAAAATTTAGTACAATATAGTGAACCTTTTAAATAATTTAATAATTTACCCCATTTCAACTATTCCAGCTTTTGGTCATGTGTATTTTGATGGGTATCTTGAAATTGAATAAAAAAATGTGCATAAAATATCAACTACTTGACCTAATTATGTGTAGTTTGATTAATTTTCTTTTTTACTTTCTTACTATAAAATAAATTTTTAATCTTCAAATAAAAAACATTACAATCTTGAATTAACCAAAAAGGATGGGTGTAATGAAAGGAACCAAAGACCAAAAGCATAGCCAAAAAAGAAAAAGGGATGTAAAAAAAGGGCACTTGCAGTATCGCTAACCGGGTCAAAAGGTTGTCAATTATACTTGAAGGTATGTTTTTAAATTTCGATATCAATCAGGTACATTTTAAAAAAAAATTGTTGAGAAATTCCAAATTGGCCATATTTAGCTTTGGAAAGAGTGAAAAATTAGAGGTTCTGTGATAATTCCAAAGAAGCCATAACCAAATGAGAATTGGGCTAAAATTACCGCATTATCCCTAATATTCTTGCTTCCCAACACCGAACGTACTTGATTAATATAGAAATTTAAAAGAATACCCTTATATATATAATTTGTAGTCTTTTAGTAATATTTTAAGAGCTTTCTACTTCTCTTGATATTTTCCAAAAAAAAAAAAAATGAAAGGAAGGCACTGGGGCTTGGTCGGCCCAGAGGTGGGCAGAAACTTCCTCTAGAAACCCCTTACAATCAAACCAATATTCATCTTTCTTTCATAATTTACTGTCTTCGAATAAGTTATTCCAAAGTCATACACCGATATAACTTGCGACCAAATTCATGCTTTAATGTGATTTGATGCATAGCTCTGTGTCGCTCTATAACTCTTTCAAATAAATACATTCTATATGTATGCACTACCTACTATTTTTCAGTGACCAATTGCATGAAATTTATTGGAGTCACAAATTTCTGGGAGCCATAGTAAATGGTCTTTGCTGCAAGCTTGGAAGCAGCCTGTGTAGGATGATAAAGGTCCCAAAACAAGTATTTGTTGCGGTTTGGACAGTAATCTGCATCTGGGGTGCAAGCAGATTCCCCATTAAACCTCCCTTTCCCACAGCAAGCCTTCTCCAATTCAGTGAAGCCTATTATGCATATAACAATATCAGCATAAACTTTGAGATGTTTTGGTAACAAAACCAATCTGTTATTTGTATACTTCTTTTGCCTGTAAAGCTAAGGAAACAGTAATCTCTAGCCATTATCAGTTCTTTTTTTCCTTTTTTTTGTCTTTTTAGGTGGTGGGATTCGAACATTGGACATGGTGTTACAAATGTCAAACACCAAACCAGTGAAACCCATGCCTGATTCCCATTTCTATACATGTGTTCCTCCTCTTCCTCATTGGAAAGTAGCAGTGGGGAAAGAAAGAAAAGCAATGATATAAGGTTAAGCAATGATATAAGGTTGACCGAGTTTGTTACCGAATTGCGTATGGTTCAGGAAGAAGTTCTCGACCATCTCGAATGTATTGGCAATTGAATACTTCATGCATTTCTGCTCCAAGGTGAGATTGCGGAGAAGGATCTCTGAAGCAGAGAAGAACTTGCGTGCCATGTCATTCAACTCCTCTAAGCAGGAGCCAGAAGGGCTTAGTGTCCTCATCTGAGGGCAACACCCAATTGGAGGGGCGCTTATTATCCCGAACTTCCTCGCTCCCATTCCATAAAGAGCCTAAAAAACAATGAAGTGGAAATTCTGAGGATTTGGTTCTTCCATTCCAAGATTGTATATATATATATATGAAAGGATTTCGTGCAGATATGTTGACAGTTATAAAAACCAGATATTAAGTTTCAGATGTATCTTCAGCTTCGGCTTGATCATTATGACTTGTTCCAGATGTGTTGGACACATCACTGGTACTAATATTAGGCAAGGGCAAACGAGTCTTATTTCCACATTGGAGAGTGGTTTGGAAAATATGACACAGGAGGGTGTTCAAGATGTCGTTTGCCTTTGCTTAATAATAGTACCAGTGATGTGTCCAACACACCTGGAACAAGTCATAATGATCATGCCGAAGTTGAAGATACATATGAAACTCAATATCTGGTTTCTATAAAGGTCAACAAGATAATTATTTGTAATTACTTTCAAGTGTCCTTTGTAGGTAGCAGTCAGATTGGCAATGAACTCGTCCTGCTCAGCAGATGTCTTAGGAATAAAAGGGTTGAAGTTATCGAAGAGATCGTTGCTTCCTACGGAAACGACGAAGAGGGACTTAGCAAGCATCTCCTCTGCTCGCACTTTCCCCAACCTTTGTGTGAGGCTTTTGTATACTGCAGAGAAATGCCTCAGCTGTGTCTTCAAGGGCAGAACTTGATGCTGAAACCGAAATGAGTTATTCCTTAACGAGCTCGAAAATAGAAAGCACACAGAGGGAAAGGAATTCCATAGATGGTAGTGGATGGGTTTGCACTCACCAGTTTCTTGCCAGTGGTGTCAAAAATACCCGACCCTCCGGAAGCAAAATTCACACCTTTAAGGATTTGTTTGTCGAAGTTTCCCTTTGATAAAGAGAGAATGGGTGGAGGGCTGCTCTTGAGACCAACATGCATCGCTGTTCAAAAAGGAGAGAAAATGTGTGTGAAAATACTGGTACAAAATTGCCTCAAAAGGCATGCTACGCTATAAGACATACAATACACCCGTCACAACAAACTACATTCGTTTCCGTCCTTTGGCATCACAAATGGACGATGACTGACTATATGATGGTATGATGCTATGTTGTTAGAATTGCCTTGGGCCAAGAACACGGCCACTGACACGAAGAGAGTCACCCAGGCGAATCTGAGTGGGCTCACACGAGAAATGTATACATGAAAAGCAAAAACTATATAAAAAGGGTAAAATATTGTTAAAAATCAGAGGGGGGCATTTACCAATGTTTTCTGACGGAGCAGAGTAGGCGTCCCTCATGATTAGCTATTTTGGTAACAAACACTTCTTGAAATTATTCTAAAATAGACACGAAAGGAAACAATACCATTCTTGATTAAAAGTAAATATTTTCTTTCTTTTTTTTGGATAATTCAGTGGGAAAGATGGGGCCTACCAGATTTTTTAGATAGATTAGAGAGTTAGCTTTTTGGGTGTCAATAGGTGGATTGAAAACCACAACTAGATATGGGGGTGCAACCACCATGACCGAACCCATTACTGAAAAGAATAAGTATATAGGCTCATATTTTTCGAATCGATCCAAATGAGCCTAAAATAGGTACAGAAAGGGTGAAAAAAAAAGCAAATACCAATAAAATCGGCACTATTGTAACCGTTGCTAAACCTCCCAGTTGCTTTCTTTCCAGGGAAATCAATGCCATTATGGGGAAAGTTCGCCTTGGCCTTGCTCCTCAAGTAGTTGTTGTTCCCCACATCTGCAGTGGAATCCCCAAATATGAAAACAGCAGGCACTTTTGCCAATGCCACTGCCACTTCATTTTGAAGCACCAACCCCACCATTAGAGCAAGAAGAAGAAGAAGACTGCATGGCCTCCCCAATTCCATCGTGTATTATGAATGAATACACTCTTCTTTCTCAAGTTACTAATCAAAAAAGAAAGGGAAAAAATTACTCCACTCTCTCTCTTTTTTTCTCTCTCTTTACAAAAAAAAGTTATATGACGTTTACCAACTCCTTTCCCCCCACTTTATAAGAAAAAGAATGAAAACAAACGTGGAGAAGTCTTTTTCAGGGCTTTGCAATAACAAGGCTCACACTTGAACCGTTCGGGCGGACATTAATAGGAGAACTACAATATTTTTTTTTAAAAGACAAAAGGAGTGTGTTGTATGCTCCTGAGGGATCATTTTGTGCATTTTCCCCCTTGAGGAAAATGGCTACTTCTAATTGTTTTTTGAAAAAAAAAATTGAGAATCATGATTATTTTTAAAGAGGAAAATCAAAATCTGTAACCATATTTAACTGTGATAATGTGGAGGTCCAAAACTCATTAAAATCTACGAGGAGGTCCAATGTTTTGATGTTCTAAACTAGGAACCACTGTTTTTTTTTCCCACCTTTTTTTATGTTTGCCAATTTTTCCCATCAATTCAATGATCCAAATATCGAACTAATTTTTTATTTAATTTTTTTTATTATTTTGAGGTGTAAAACCAATTCAATGTTCCAAATATCAGACCACTTAGCTTGAATATGGTAGGTGTCACAGCCTCTATGCCATCTATTTAATTTGGAGAATTGTCTACAAAGAGACCATTTATCTTTTATACATGGAGGTCACAATCATTTCCGCTTATTAGATGTCATATATGATGGCTTAGGGTGCGTCACAAAGTCCAAGAAATTTCATTTTTAGAACTTTGCCTCTATTAACACTTTTACAACCATCTATTTTGAAATTTACAAGACAACAATAATGATTATGACCTTCTTGTAATAAAAATGAATAATCTCCCTATAGGCAATCCCTAATTTGTATAGTGCATATGAACGTCAAATTTCAAAACAAAAAATATAATCCATCAATACCATGCAGAGGTATGTCAAAGTCCGCACAATAAAATATACAGCTTTAATGTACCAAACAAGGTGAAACAACAGGTAGAGAAGAAGGGATGGCGGTTTTCCTTGTTTAGGGAGAATTGGAGAAGTTAGATATCGGCCGCATCAAATCAAATCATATCATATGACAAGGGGATCTCTTTAGTGTTAAAACCTAAGAAGCCTGCAGCCTGTCTGGACACGTCCCCTACTACCGCCAAAGAAGAACGACCCGGTTTCATTTCTGTCGGACTCCGTTTCATCTGTTTGTCTTCTTCATTTCTACGTCCGACCTCTCAGATGAAATTAATGGAGTCCCCACATTTTAACCGTCTTTTTTTTTTTTTTTTGCTTGATTTGCCACGTGTAATTATGAATTCAAAATTATATATACCCACTAAATGCATTTCGAAACACTACAACTAATAGGTAGTAAATAGCAAAAATCGGCCGAACTATTATGAAATTGCTACTTATTACTAGACATCAAAATGGATGGCTTAGGTTATGAGATAAAATTTAAGAAAAAAAAAATGTTAAGCTAGGAATTTAGTCAAAGGCACACTCACACGGAAAGGGGTTGGTTGTGGTGGTAGCACCCCTATACGTAGTTACCACGTGATGGTTTTCAATCCTGTTGATGCTGAAAAAATGGGTAGATGCATCTCTTCCCCACTGAATTACCCAAAAAAAATTCTAATTTATTTTTGCAAAAAAAAATTTTGATATTCTTATTAGATTCTCCTATTTTTAAATAATACGCACTCAAAATTTTAAGTAATTTGATTTTATAAAAAAAATAAAAATTCAAATATGAAATATAATCATGACCATTAGATCCACTCAGATTCAATCTAGGCCATTGGGCTAACACTGAAGTTGTTAGCTACTGGGTTAACCTCAGTTTTTTTCTATATATATACACACATAAATTTTATACCTATAAATTTTATATTTAAAATAAATTAATAAAAATAGGGTTAGGTCCACATGGAGCAGGACCCAAACCCAAATACATCCACGATTTGGACCTAGACCCAACCCACCAAAATCTTGGATCCACATCTGGGCCTGGGTCAGGTCTATCAATCAAGTTTGGGGTCCATGGGTCTTGATCGCCACCACTACAATAGGAAGGACATCCTTAAAAAAAAATGTGTTGGTAAGTCAGTGGGGGAGAAAGCACCCTACCTGTTTTTATTTATTAATAAACAATAAAGAAGAGACAACTCACTATTTTACAACCCTATAATAAGGCAATTGTACCAAATCATGAAGTAAAAGCGGAGAAGTAAAGTCCGGCAGTCGAGAGCATCAAATAGTGGCTCCATAACTAAAATAGGCTTTCTTAGCAAGAGCATCGGTTATCATGTTGGCCTCAGGATAAATGTGAGAAATTAACCATATGTGACTAGAAAATCTACTCCGACAATTACTGCAACTGTATGTAACCTCCATGGGACACGACAACGATCATGAATGACATTTACCAATAAGGATGAATCACTTTCAACTTGGAGGGGAAAGCAATTCATCTAGATAGCTAGATAGAGACCTTCTTCAAGAGCAAAAAATTCTGTATAATTATTTGAGGCGCTGCCAAATGGCTTAGCAAAGACAGCAACAAAAGCACAATTACTATCTCTGATAACACCGCCACCACCCACTAATCTTAGATTTTGTAAGGAAGTTCCATCAATATTCAGCTTTAAGTGGTGGAGTTCAGGGAGTGACCATGCCACCGTCTAGGTTCTTACTGTCGCCATGTAATCCGAAAATTTTCAATGATTGCTCTCTCTGACGAATGAAATGCCCATTTCTTTGTGTTTGCCAACCACTTGATATGATAAAAAATATGCTAAACAATTTGTTCCCTTCTTGTAGACTTTGACTCAAAGATTCTCCTATTATGTTCTCGTCCATAAGAATCAAATTATTGTGAAGAAAATAACAGTCCAAATATTTAGGAGACCATTCGATTTAAATCTGAAGCTTAACCATCTTTTCTACATATCAGAAGCAGAAATACCATGGATGAAACACTTACACACTGTCATGCAACCGACCTCCATACACCCGGCAAGAACACACAATGAAACAATAGGTGACAAAGGCTAGCATCACTATTCCTAATAAAATGGCATTGCATACGGAATACAGTAGGTAAGCAATTATGAAGAGCCATCTAAGAGAGTCATTGGCTCTGGGATGACATTTGGAAGACCAAAGAACTCAAAAAACAAGTTACAATGATCTTTTATCTCGAATAAAATCCCAGGCCTCCTTAATAAACAATACACCACTAACAAAGTTGATCCTGACTAAAAAATCCTTTCGAGGCTGTAAGGTATAGTGCAACTCTCGACCTTCCTCCATATACTGAATAGAGGAGCTAATGTGGTTGAAGGAAGAACTCAAGATTGTGATGAACATTTATATAATCAGAAACCTTTCTCCCAACGAAGTCCCCCAAATCCTCATGTATATTGCCACCACAAGAGTCCCATATAGATTGACCTGATAACCAGGGATCTGCCCAAAAATTCACGAGCTGATCATTTCCAATAACCCATTGGACATTATCCTTCAAATGAGATAAATCTTATAGAATAATTTTCCAAGCATAAGAGCAGCACCACTTCGTCTTGACCTCCCAAATAGAATAATTCCTGAAATATACGTGCCTAAAACATCGAGCTAAGAGAGATGAGGGATCTGCCAAGATTATCCAAGCCAGCTTCATCATTCCTACAGTATTAAAATCAACAATATTGCATACCCCTAGTCCCCCTCTCTTCTTGAGGAAGGCAAACTATCTTCCATTTGACAAAGTGAACACCTTTTTTTTCTGCCACACCTGCTCCTAGAAAATTCTTCTGCGACCTTTCAATTATCTTACAAGTTCATTTCTATAGAATAAAAGATAGTATTCAGAAAATAGATGAGGCACTAAGTATTGATTTCAACAGCTGTAAACGACCTGCGTAAGATAAACAAAGAGCTTGCCATATACCAATCTTACTAATAACTTTTCCAACTAGAATGTGGCAATAATTGTGCTTTAGATAGCCATGCAACAATGGCAACCCCAAATATCTTACTGGTAAGGAACCTTCCCCAAAGTCCAACTCTTTCAGAATTGTATATTGACAATCTGTGTTACTCCAAAGAAAAAACCTTTGCTCTTTGTAGTGTTTAGCTTTTGTCCAATAGTAAGTTCAAAGTTAGAAAGAACTCCTTTATAACAATGGCCGAGGTGATAGATTCTTCACAAAAAATGACAGCATCATCAGCATAAAACAAATGCAAACCCCCATAATCACAACCCAAAGAAAAGGCCCTATGAATCATCTCCTGCACCATAGCATAATCAAACTGTCTACTGAGATAGTCCATAACTAGCAAGAATAAATACGGAGATAAAGGATCCCCTTGCCTTAATCATCTTTTTCCTCTAAAGAAACCCTTTGGAAAACCATTTCTTAACACAGAAAAAGAAGTATTGGAAATGCATAGTCGAACCTAGGAAATAAAATGTTATGGAAACCCCAAAACCAGCAGCCTAGCCACAATAAAGGCCCAAGAGACCTTATCGTAAGCACTACTTAAATCAAGTTGCAAACATATCTTAGCCCTAACTGCATTCTTATAATAAAGAGACATGAGCTCATTTGGCATACGAATATTGGATCATGAAGAAGAGTGGACCGTAACATCCTTTAAATTTGATCAGGAAGAAAGACATTGATATTAGGAAATCTTAGGTATCTCCGTATCTCTCTTTTAACCAAGTTGAAAGTCTATCCCTAGCTTTCTCTCAAAGCCTATAATGAATCAGGAAAGTCCACCTCTCTTCGTATTAGCACATCTTAGGTATCTCCACATCTCTATTTCATAGATAACCAAAGTTCGAAAGTCTTTCTCTACGTTTCTCTCAAAGCATACAGTGCATTAGGAAAGTCCACATCTCTTCCTGTCTCTTGATTGAACTCGATTATCACCA